TCGCTGATGCTCTTGCTCACTTAATGGTCGTGTGACTTACTCTCGAAGCTTTCGTGTAGCTGCTGCACCCCAGTTTTTCTCACTAGCATCTGTGTACACCGTGATCCGCTTGTCAGGGTCAGGATGTGGTTGAAGTGCAGGTTGTAGTGTGCCATGCAACAGTCTAAGCAAGCATCATCGCTCTCACCCCAGCCAACATCACGAAGAAACATGTGCCTTACTTGGCGCTTCTTGCGGCCACCATCTCTCTCGTATACTTTCTCCATTATATTTATTAATGGATCAATCAGCTTTTTTAAAGCTGGAAGCGAAGCTCGCATCCAGCTTAACGCACAAACAAATTGCTGGAGCTCCGTTCCTAATCGTTGGCGCGATACATTGGTTAGAGCATAAATTCGCGCTGGGTCGTGGCGTATGCCCTCATCCGATACAACCCGACTGCACTACAGCGCTTCGCGCAGGTAAAATATGCATTTTTGGGGGTTTCACTTGAGCCCTTTAGTAGCACAGAAAGTCCGAACTTTCTTGAGTTGTGCTATCAATTTCTCATCACTGTCGTTTTATCCTAAACCATTGTTATGTATTTTGTCAAATATTTGCTGAGCTGTAGACTGCACATATGCCACGCTGTTAATCTCTCCCATCAGCACTCTGCCAGATATTGAGTTAACACTCCTTCTTCGGTTAGGATAGAGTAAATCGCTTGGCACAACAACGCCATGGCGAGCTGCCAAAATCCTTCAAATAAATAAAACAAGAAATATCGTAATGACCCACGCAATTGCTCGAAAGCTGCTTTCAGTATCGACATTTAGTTTGGAAGCTTACTTGTCTGCTGAATTTGGGAGCGTATTTTATGTCGTCAATAAGATATATACCTCGTTCATTATTAAAGAGCTTTAGTTTCCGGGAAAACGCAAGGCTTGGAATAACAAGTATCTTGATAAAATCTGAAAAAATGACGGATAGATTACCATCGATATTCTAATACTCTATTCCAGTGAAATAACGCGACTCTTCGCTATTCCACTGGAATATATATCTGGACGAAGAAATTCTTTTTTTAAAAACCTGAGTTATTCCAGAAACTAAAGCTCTCAAATTTCGTCAATGAGATTATTAGCACTTCGTTTTTATTGGAACGTGGGTATTCATTAATAAATTAAGATAAGTACCAGTCCGGTCAAGAATATACCACTGAGGACGAGCATAATACTCTCTTTATATTTCAAATCATTAAAGCAGAGCAAGATAAATTCATAAAGCCCGTAGTAAAAAACAAATATTTGTTTTAAAGAACAACCAAAACAAACAAGATTTTTTTATTTATTAGGTCATTCGTGTCCCTCCAACATGGCACAGCGCGAATTCATCTCTTTCACTGGCATTCTCATCAAATATGTCACTCTTATGGATAGGCATTTTGTTAGTGCTGTATGCGTGCTTGGCCACATTCGTCTCAAAGTAAAGGTCAGTATTCGCCGTTGGCTGCTCACGAGCAGCCAGGGTTCCCCAATATGCCATACTCAATATATTCTGCTGCTATTACGCCAAGACAATAATAATGGCATTATTCCTTAGGTTGACTACGCATACTCTGTCTGATAGCTTTAGCACTAAATCCTTCCCATCAGTCCTTTTTGTACGATAGAAACATAAGCACTTCAAGAGTGTTAGGGTCCATGGCTTTCCTTAAGTCGGTCAGAACCAGCTTGGCTTGACTGAAGAAACGCTCGCACTCGCTCGACGTGGGTGGAACCGACTCGAGAGGAAAGTATTGCGGTGGGGAGCGCGTCACAGGGGCCTTCTTGAAGGCCGACGCGAGAAATGACTTGGAAACTGCTGGGTTTACCACTGTGTCGTCGCTGCTGCGCTTGAGATGAATACACGCCGCTTGTTCGCGTGCATTCAGCCGACCACCGCCAATGATCTTCACGATGTCGCTCTCCAGTGCGGGATTGTTGACGACGGAGGCGTCACATGCAAGCCGGGTCTTCATGCTGGGGTACTTGCGCAACACTGCATCAAAGGCACGTCGTGTACCCACCACTGTTAGAGTTGAGTCTTGTAGCGCCTTACTCACCTCATTCAGCTCGTGCAGCGACTTAAGAAGGGAGCGAGCGGCTTCAGTTTCCTCTGGCGTCAGTAGAAAGCGCGCGTTGTCATGCTTAGCCACCGTAGCGTGGTCCAACGCGAGAAGAGCGCTACAAATCCTGTCGTACTGCTGTCATGCTAAAGGTACTCGACCAACGAGTCGCGTTGGGCATGACGGGCGCTAGAGAGGTCACCTTGCAAAGGGCAGCACGACACTTAATGGTGCTCAGGTGTTTCATGAGCGCATGTATCTTGGCCAACATGGGTTCATGATCAGCCAGATAGGCGTTCAGATGTCCTGTTTGTGAGATTCATGGGGTACTTGGGCGAAAGGGGGCTGAAGAGTTGTTGGGATGACTTCAAAAGGTCGAATGAGCTGAGGAGATTGCACAAGGCTCGTAAAGTCTCTTTTGAGGTGGTGGCAACCAGTAGTTCTGGTGGACAGTATTAACCCTAGAATAACTGATAAAATGCTGAAAAAGTGCTTGCATTTTTACTCGCTCCTCAATACATTATTGCATTCCCAATATGCGATATTATTCAATACCGTATTCCTTATGTGATTGGCGACAGTCAAATTCTTGAGGTGGTCCAGCCTTTCTGCCAGCATAAAAGATACCTGCATAAAAAAAAACTATATGACATGCTCAAAATTATATTGGTCGCCAAGCACATAAAGCGCGACGACACGAAATTTGAATCAATTTGATTGGCTGCTGGATTTGTCGCTAATGACCGAGCGTCGCCCAATCACATACGGAATACCGG